TAATATTAAATATTCCATTCTAAGCATAGCCAAGTTTGAACAACAGAAAAGGAGTGGAAGGAAAAAAAACTTTTGACTGGAATCATTCATTAATTTTGCAGTCTTAGATGGCGCTAGTAGTGGCACAGAAATTACACACTTCACCTTGCTATGATGCTGTTGTGGGTCACTCTGGTCTTTCAAAGTCAAGCATGCTTCACACCCTCCATACACTCATGTCTTCAGGCTCTGTCCAGCCGTGGTCTGCGATGACGCACACACACACACACACAAACACACGTTTTGCACAGGATTTCCATCTCTGATCTCGGTGCCGCCACACTGCCGCAATGACTCTATGACATTCCAGCAAGTGGTGCAACACGTTTCTCATGTCTCTGTAGTTCAACACTGAGGTAATGGCAGTAACACACAATAACGTAGCACATGATTTCTGAATGTCTTTTAAAAAACATTTTTAATTTAAACCACGGTTTTCTTTTAATTCTTATTTTGGTAACAACTTTCAGAGCCCCTAAATGTGCACTAATGTTCATTTACATTATATGTGAAGATTTTATATAAATAGAACACAGAATATGATTTTAAACTAATAAAAGACACACTTGACAGATAATTATTGTGTTTTAAAGCTTGCTTGTACTGATAAAATGTAGCCATTGTGATCTGTTGTGGCGTTGTGAAAGAGTTTTAAGGGTTTGCTTTGCATGGTTGCTTTGTTTTTTTAAGTGAATGCGATTTAGATGGCCAGTCATCATAAATGATCAACCGAAGGACCTCGCAATCTCACTGAAATTCATTAAATTCTATATTTTGTCTATTTGTTTTGATAAAATGAATATATATTTTAAATGTGAATATCACAGTCATTTATAAAACAAGAGAGAGCGAACAAAATGATAATATGAAAGGACCAATGTATAAGCAGTATATTTTTGATAATGTTGGGGTTGATGTGCCAAAGCTCTGCTTTAAAGGGGTTATATGATGTGATTAAAATTTTTCCTTTCTCTTTGAAGTGTTACAAGCTCTTGGTGCATAAAGAAGATCTGTAAAGTTGCAAAGACTAAAGTCTCAAATCCAAAGAGATATTCTTTATAAAAGTTAAGAGTCAGTCACACCTACCTAAAACGGCTCATTCTAACACGCCCCCACATATCTAGGTCACTATCTGGGAAGATTTGCATAACGCCGCCCAAATGTTCACGCAAAGAAAAAAGGCATAACTTTTATTCTCACTGTAGTATTGTTGTTGCTGCCGCAATGTCGTGAAGGTGCTTTGTGTTTCGTTGTGAAAGCGAAACTACTTTGTTTGGCCTTACAAAAGAGGACGATATCCGCTTCGTCATGCCTGGAGCTGATC